TCCAGCACTAGCTAATATTTCAGGAGTTTGTCTAATATTTGCTGGCCATCCACGAAAAGTACTTAATCTTCCTTCATATGTTGCACATTGTGGTTTTTTAGGAGTTGTGTGTATTTGTATTCCTAAGTCGGAGAGATTTGATGTTGCACCAGGCATTAATTTTACATTAGTTAAATATAAACTATCTAATGAAAGAAGTTTTATTAATAATCTTGATTTAATTAATTAATTAATTTCATTAATTTAATTTTAATTTAAAAAATAAAATGAATAATTGTTTTAAAAGTAAAAAAATATACTTTTTTGCTTGTTAATACCATCTTGATGAAGGTAGAAATCACAATCAGGAAATGTATCTTTGTGCTTTTTCTCAGGATCATCACCAAGTTCCCATTTTTTTAGAACACCTCCACAATATGTACATTGTACCTATGAAAGATATAAAATAAATTTATATGTTATATAAATATCAGATGATGTTTTATTTTTTTAATGTATCATTACCTCATCATCCTGTTGAAGATAGTAAAATCCAGCTTTGGCAAGTTTTTCAGGTGATACAATAGAAGAAATTGGCCAATTAATAAAGGATTGTAACCTTTGTGACACAGTTCTATATTCCTTTTGAGGTTCTTTATTTTGGCAAGGGTTTGTAGATTGGCATTCAACTATGTTATTATCTTGTGATGTTTCTGTCGATGATGATGATGCTAATCCAAAATTGTTAATTGGTATTAAATGGACATTGCAAGTACTAGAAGGATTTTGAACAAAAGGGCAAGTAGGTTCAGCTAATCGATGACGGGCTATAGCTTGGTCACCATAATTCCAATCAGAAATTTTTACTCCACATAAAAAACATTGTACTTCTAAGGCATGTCCAGTATAGTAAAATCCGGCTTTTGCTATTCGAGCAGCATCGACAGCGGCATTTACTGGCCAATCCGTAAAAGTTCTTAATCTAGTTTCTTCAACGTTCATTTTAAATATTTGTTTACATCTGTTTGAATGTTACAAGAAAACAATAAGTTAAATTTTATTGAAGTTTTATATTTGACTTATGGACGTAGAATGAATTATTGTTAAAATGGATTATTGTGTTGAAAGTTCCATTACTGCATAATTAGACACAATGATTTGATATAGAAATCATTTACATAGTACGTTACAATGTATAGACCGAAGAACACTGGTAATGATAATGAAGTAGAGAAATATAATTAAAAACTTACATTTCTACGCGTGCGCAATATTTCAGGACCGTGTTTATTAGGATACCTATATTTTGTTCAAACTTTCGTTAAAATATACTCGGAATACAAGTTAAAATCTGTTATTTTATATGAATGAAGATTTATTTGAAATAAACTTGAAATGTATATATATTATATACATATGGTGTTATCTTAGTTATAATTAATGAGATGTAAGAAAACCAAGGATCTGAATTTAAATAGTATCAGCACTACTACTTTTATATTGTGATGAGTTGGAATATAAGATCAAATCTTTGAAAAGTACTTAAGTCTTACAATATAACAATTCAAGCAAGTTATTAAGCATTCTATTAAGCACTCAAAATGTTGGTATTAAAAAACATAAATAAAGTAAGTTGTTAATAAATTAAATGGTTTATATTTATTTTTTACACATATGCTTTTAAATAAGAATTATTCCATCATTTCATTACAATATATATTAGTATTTTTTAAATAAAATAAAAAAATTTATGAAGTTTTTTTTATTGTATAGTAATTTTTTTTTCTGTTTAGATTCTTCTTATCACTTTACGTTCATATAGTTCTAAAGTAAAATTAAGTGATGTCGTTATAGTTAGTGCAACTAGAACTCCTATGGGATCATTTCTTGGAGGGTTATCAAGTTTATCTGCACCAAAACTTGGAGCCATAGCTATTCAAGTAAATATTAATTTTATATTTATTAAAATAGCAATGAATTATTATAAAGTACCAATTAAAAATTATAACAGACAGCAATTGAACGCGCTAGTATTCCCAAGGATAATGTTACAGAAGTATACATGGGAAATGTTTGTCAAGCTTTTTTAGGTCAAGCACCAGCAAGACAAGCCACATTATTTGCAGGTTTTTTAAATTTGTATTATTTTATATATATCATGTTATATGATAATATCTACATTGATAAATTTTTAAGTTAGGCCTTCCTAAGTCAACAGTATGTACAACAGTTAATAAAGTTTGTGCAAGTGGCATGAAAAGTATAATGCTTGCTTCTCAGTCATTACAATGTGGACATCAAGAAATTGTTCTTGCCGGTGGTATGGAATCAATGTCCAATGTACCATTTTATTTGCCACGAGGGGAAATTAAATATGGTGGCATGAAACTTGAGGTAAATTTTCTAATAATATGTGGTCAGTAAATTTTCTAATAATATATGAAAAATGAATATTTTTTGTCTATTTGAATCTGAATGTAATTCATTAATTCTTGTATCTTTATTTGTAATTTAATAGGATGGTATTGTATTTGATGGTTTAACTGATGTTTATAATAAGTGCCATATGGGAAATTGTGCAGAAAATACTGCCAAGAAATTCAATATTACTCGTGATGAGCAAGATAAGTATGCTATTAGCAGTTATAAACGCAGTGCTGCAGCATATGTAAATAAAAGCTTTCAAGAGGAACTTGTATCTGTTTCTATATCTCAAAGAAAAGGCAATCTTGATATAATATTCAATGAAGATGAAGAATATAAAAAAATTAATTTTGATAAATTTGGTAAATTAAATACAGTTTTCCAGGTATAAGATTCAGTTAATTGGAAATTACTAACACAAATTTCAAATAATTTTTATTTACTTTACTTTTCTAGAAAGAAAATGGTACAGTAACTGCTGGAAATGCATCAACTTTAAATGATGGTGCTGCTGCATTAGTCCTAACAACTGCAACAGTTGCTGAAAAAATGAATTTGAAACCTTTAGCACGAATTATCGCGTTTCAAGATGCTGCAACTGATCCTATTGATTTCCCAATTGCACCATCTCTTGGTATTTCTAAAGTAAATTTCTTACAATATATACAATAGAATGTTTGATAAAATTTTGAGAATATAAATTATTACACTATTATAGTGATATGTATTCATTTTTTACAAAAGTTATATAATATTTTATATATTATTTTCAGTTATTAGAAAATACTGGTGTTAATAAGAATGATATTGCTCTTTGGGAAATAAATGAAGCTTTCAGTGTTGTTGCAATTGCAAATCAAAAATTACTTGATCTTGATCCCAACAAAGTAAATGTTCATGGTGGCGCAGTATCTCTTGGTCATCCTATTGGGTAAGCATTTAGTTGTTTTTATGTACATGAATAATATTCAAGTTGCAAAAACATTGAAAATTTTAGTATGTCTGGAGCTCGTCTTGTGGTACATTTAGCACATGCTTTAAAAGCTGGCGAAAAAGGTGTTGCATCTATTTGCAATGGAGGCGGTGGAGCTTCATCAATTTTAATAGAAAAATTGTAAGTTTATAATGGATAAAATTTTATAAAGAAGACTGTATAGTAAAATATTATGTATAGTAAAAAATATTTTTATTTCTTTTTACTATGCATGAAGATATACTATTTTTATATATCTATACAATTTATTTTTTATACCATATTGTTGCGATAAATAAATAATATTAAAAATAAAATAAGAATAAAATTTTTCTTTCATTCTATAGGTATCATACAATGTCTTCTCCACCAATATTAACGTTATATACAAAACATCCTTGTCCGCTTTGTGATATTTTAAAAAATGAATTGCGGTTGCGTTTTTCTGGTCGTTATCAATTACAAGAAATTGATATTACAGCACTTGGAAATGAACGATATTTAAAACTGTATAAATATGAAATTCCAGTTCTTTTTTTAGAACGTCAATTTCTTTGTAAACATCGTTTAGATTCGGAATTATTGGAGCGAAAATTACAAGAATTTTCTCAAAATTAAAAATAAACAGTATGGCGTTGTATGTATTATTGGTTTTTATATTGATCAAATACGTGATTAGTAAATAAAAATTAATTAACGGCCATTGATACATGAATATTTTAGAAACAATAATAATGTAAACTGAAATATAATGTAGCAATATTTATTCAAGATTGGCAAGTATCGTCGGCCGACAAATCTCATAGTTCGCTTGCTGCTTTCGCCTGTACTTGTTCACTTTGAATCGCCTACTCCTTTTCACCCTCTCTCTACTGTCTCTGTCCTCTTGCTTCTCTTTCTCTCCACCATTCAGTCTGAATACTCTCTTTCCGATGGATAAGCAAGCAGGCACGCACACGCTGACATGTCGAAGATCGGCAGTGAATTGGTGAATGCACGCATCAGACTCTCCTTGCCGACGTTCGTTCTTTCTTCAGTGCGTGCCTTATGCGGATAATGAAAAGTATCTGTTTCTTTCATATCACCTACGTGGCGTATTGTAGTGAATAATTTTTTTGAACTCCTGAAACACAAAAGAAAAAGAAGAGACTAATAAATACTTTTTAAATCGCAGAAATCAACAATAAATGTTTGTTGCAACTGTACTATTGAAATCATGCCAGTGCCCTATTTGATTTTTCGAGGGTCGACGTAACCAGTACCAAGAATAACAAAGTGAATAAATGTAAAACGAATCTTGATCTTATTTAAAAAGAATTGTATGCCCAAATTTAGTGACTTGAATATTTGTAGGTTTTTCAAATATAAATGAACAAAAAAAATGTTCAGAAAGAATTTTAATAAAAGTGAAAATTCGAAGTCCGGAAAATGAATGGATGAATTATGTTATCATTTAAAAAACGAAATTTAAAAACCACAGTGAATAGTGTAACTGTAAAATATTTAACTAAATGCAAATACATATGTGGGATTCTGAAGTAGCAACGAAGTTTCGAATTTTGTAATATTTCTGTTTATTAATATTACAAATGTGAATAGAATACACAGAGTTCAACTTTTTTTTTTGTTCTAATAGAAGCGCGCTTTGGGCTAAATAAACTCATAATATTTTTAGATGGCGTTATCTTCCGTCGTGATCAGTTTACAAATTCTAGGCCATTGCTATATTTTAAAAAAATATCGACATAAATTTCATTTATTTGAATAACGTATCAAATTTTATAAAATGACATAAACGAGGGAAGATAAGTTTTGCATTTGATAAAGGACAGATTAAATAAGAATTGAAGATTTAAACTTTTAATCTGTGAGTTTATAAGAATGAGAATTTACAAGGAGAAATGAAATCGTTCATCAATGTTTACAACGTTATATTTTTTTCGTGCAGCTATACTAGAAATTCATCAAGGATCTTAATTTTTGGACGAGCTTTTTAAAAATTTATTACAAAGGTATAGAAAACATTCAATATTTTATTCTACTAAAGATTTATTTTCATATTCAGCTTCTTAAATTTAGATCATGGTGCTTAAATTTATATCATTATACATGCAATAATTATGATAAAAAAGTATTATGTGTACCAGATCATAAAAATATTTGTAATTGCAAACATGTAGTTGGCTTTCAAATATTGACATATATTACATATGCTATTTATATGTAACAGAGAATATATATTGTTAGTATATATTGTTTTAAACATATTCATAAGAAAGATTTATACTTATAGACGATAAAAGAAATAGAAGACTTTCGTCGATCGTTTATTTTCTATTATTAATTATTGTTTCCTTATTCATTATTGTTTCCTACATTCATTATTATTAATATTTTATTAAGAAAAATTAAACATGCATCTTATAAATGAATATTATAAATTATATGACATAACATGAATATTATAAATTATATGACATCACATGAATATTATAAATTATATGACATAAAATGTATATATATACTAAATATATATACTAAAGAAAAACATAACATCAACATATACAGAACTTCATATATATATATATATATATATATATATATATATAT